CCGTCTCGCTCTCGCTAAAATATGGGCTGACATCTTGTTACGTACGCGTATAGAATATACTGATTCTAATTGGCCAGTTTTAAATAGTTTCCGATTTTGTTGGTGCAAATGACATCAAAGTACTGTACAGTCTCTATATTCTGTCACCCAGTAATCCAATACCCACTGGTCCGATTACAGATTCTACTGTACAATTTATGTCAGATCGTTGCAATTTTGCAGCTTTGAGAGATGTTAAAAACCGTCGCTCATTACATAATATAATAACTCAAGGGGAATTATAAAATACCAGAAATCATTCAAAGGATTTAAAAAACTATTGAAGAACATGGCATGGCATATGCAAAAGCTAAATTATTTGGGTATGTTTATAACACATAACTATCATGTCATATGAGAATGGCCTATATATAATTTATATATATAAAATTTGTACTTGAAGTTTTCAAGTACAGAAGATTTGTGGGGGATACTTTTCAAGACTCCTAGTAAATGCCTAAAGCTGCAGATAGTACTGAACTGTATACATATATACTGTTTTTTTCTTATATATACACATCTATAGTAAAGTTTGTTTATAAATTAAGCACAGTAAGGGGTTTTTTCATTTTTTGACTCTTTCCATCCTTTGGACACTAAAACGGCATTTTTTAGCATGTTGCCAGTATCCACAATTAGTCTGCACAATGTATTTGGAACAAATGACACCAGAAAAATTCCTGGGGTTACTAGACTGGATTTGATCCCAGATTCTCCAATGATAGGCTGATATCTCATTCATCCACCCAGTGCAAAAACAGAGAACAACAAAACTAATAAAACAGAACAATTATAACAATACTATAATAAAATAAATGTGAATGTGGCCTGAATAAGGAAGAAAAATTCAGCATATGCTAAGTCAGAAACTTTCTCCTTTTCACTTAAAGCAATTTATGACTTTTCTTTGGCATATCCAAATTGCTAGCATCACTACTTATCACTCCTGTGCTTTATGGTCATTCTTAAGTAAGATAAAGGTTACTTGAAGTGAGAAGTCTTGAGTCCAATGAAATGAGTAATGTACTTAAGGAGATTGCTGTACTTTTGTTTAGTGTGATGTACAGTAGACAGAAAAATAAAAACAACAGACAAAGGAGTTTCAGGTGATGCCAAATTCTTCAACTACTTCAGGATAAAAACAAAAGTTGCAAAACTTTTCATAATTTCACTTTGTGATAGAACTGACAAAACAGTGCTGTGTAGCACATACAGAAGCTAATCAAAGAAATCTGGATGACTAATTACCTAGATATTGTGACATAGCTGCTCCAGTGCTCTGGTAGGTTTTGATATCAGCCAGGCCCATGAGTTGGTAGTGGGCGATCCAGGCAGATTTGTTGACTGGATGGAGATTTTATCATGTCTGTGACATACGAAGTCTCGTGCCTCACAATAAAAATTGCTCCTTATTTGAGTGACATTCAGGTTATTGTTAAACTTAAGCACTGCTCAGTGTAGCTAAATGATGCAGTTGAAAGCATTGCTAAACTTCTTTTATTGAAGTGCTGTGCACAGCAATCTCAACTGGTTTGTTAAATCTGCAGCACTTGTTTCAGTCACTTTTCTCACTGCAACAAAGATAGTTGCCTCCACAGTGGAAAGTTGAAATCTTATATGTGACTGTAAAATTATAAGGTTTTAATCACCTTGAATCAATATTCTGTTTGTACTAATTTTTCTTTTAAAATATTCATTAGTAAAATTAAATCAGATTTGACAACACTTTTATATATACAATGTTTTGTTATATAGTGTATGTTATGTTTCAGAAAGAAGCTACATACACTACATTTAAATCATTAATTTTACCTCCCAAACAGGCATTGTATCACAAAAATGAGTTATTTTTAAAATGTTTCAAATTAAATAATTTGCCAAACATTTCAATAGCTGCACAGAGATCTGCTGTTTTGGAACTGCATCACTGCTCCATGTTCATTATTAAAAGACTTGCAGTAGCAATTGCAGTGTTTTTGCAGAAAAAGCGCTGAATTTAACAACCAGTCAATTCAATTCCCAGGGTTTTACTCAGATGTGTAAATACCTAAATCATGTAAAAACTTCAAGTACAAATTTTATGTATAACTAGCTGTTACTTGCAGCTTCACCCATGCAGAATTTGCAATTTGATAGAAATAACTCTCCCTCAGTATTTCACTAAGATTCTCAATCATTAGTTGTTACTATAAAAAGAAAAAATTGCATCTAAAATAGTACAGTAGAAGCCGTTCTTCATGTTAAGCCTTAATCCTCTCCCTCTCCCCATGGGGGAATTTCAAGAAATCCCTTCTTAGTGTGCATTTTCATGAAGTACCCTAACAATGTACCAAATTTCACCTCTAGGTTTAGCAGTTTGCTCTGGGTGATGATGAATCAATCAGTCAGGACATATAATTTTATATATATAGATAGTTATATACAGACCATTCTCATATCACATGATAGTTATGTGCTATAAAACATCATGTAGTGTAAAACCATGTTATACAGCACTAAGAACCAATACAAAATAGATAGATTTTGTTCCAAAGCTAAATGATATGAGTATTAAAGGATTTAAAAAACATGTTCAATAGTTTTTAAATCCTTTGAATGCTTTCTGGTATTTTATAATTCCCTTTGAGTTATTATGTCATGAGAGATGGTTTTTAAATCTCTCAAACCTGCAAAATTGAAATGATCTGACTTAAATTGGCTGTATAAAAATTGTACAGTAGAATCTGTGCAATCTGACATATTTCACATGATATGAAAGGACTTAAGGGTCTGTTCAGAAATGCTTACTGATTGGTTGGTTGGTAGCAGTGATGTCATCTGTATTTTGTCAGCCACTCTCTAATCCACACTTGAAGATGGTGAGTCTGGTAGTGACATGTAAATTACCATAAACTTTATAGGTAACATTTCTGAACAGACACTATATGACTAATGGGTGGGTAGCATATACAGATTAGATATGCTGTACAAAGGAATGATTCATATGCATGCAGGATGGTCAAAAATTTCATCAAGCACTTTTCAGCAAAACTGCATGTGTCATAAACCACAGTACTACCACTCAAACCTTTAAAAATACAGTATAATTTTAACTTTCAATTTCTTTATATCCGATAGCAATGTGATTACATTTAAACATTTCTGGATGACACAAATTTATTTTATTCTTCTAATTTCTCCAAAATGTACATTTCGGACTCTAAGTCTCTCTTCAGTTGGAGCAGCGTGCATCCCTGGGGTGTGAGAGAACATTTCCAGAGGTGCTAGAGAAATTTCAAAAATTTAAAAAAAAAAAAAATAAGAATGAGGCAACTGAGTTTTCTACAAAGAGTCTGTGGTACCCAGCAACACAGCACCCACACTTCTTCACACTCTACCGTCTCACTTCTACACTATCTACTCTACCGTCTCTCAGCACATAGGCTTGTCATCAGTCATCAGTACATACAGTTAATGTAATCACATTGTCACGTGCAGTACAGGAACTAGTTGAGACGTGTTTGCTACTTGAATACAGCATTTTGCACATCAAAACAAAAGCCAAAAATGCATCTGATGACTTACGCGTGGCTCTTTCAAAAAAAGAGCCTTGTTTTAATAGAATTATTATGAATAAACAACAATCTAGCCATTAAAATTTAAATATTGCTTTTTATGTTATATAGTAATATATATTGTGAATAAACACAGCATTTGTTTATGCAATAAATGCTTTTTAAATAAAAAATATACACACATTTTTTAAGGGGATGTAAGAGCTTATTTTCAGATTCAAGGGGTGCTGATCACTAAAAAGGTTAAGAACTGCTGAGTTGGAGTATGAAATGAACATGGCACATAGCAAATATTAACAAAAGTGTTTATATTTCAATGATTAAAACTTTACAAAAACACATTACATCAATTTAATCAAAATAACTGTGTTTTTGTAGTTTTTGTAGTTCAAGTTTTAATCATTGAAATATAAACACTTTTGTTAATATTTGTTATGTGCTATGTTCATTTTCTACTACAACTGAAGAGGAACTTAAAGTCTAAAATTTTAGAGAAATTAAGAATAAAATAACATATATCTGTGTTAACTGGTGACCTGTGGTGTGATTGCCCTGTAAATATAAACACATTATTCCTTTATATTCAATAACAAACTTTAGGATGAAAAGCTTCATTATATAATTTAATTTTTAAACATTTTTGGTTGTCTTAAACAACCTTCCTCAGGATAGAAAGAAATTACAATTTAAAAATAAGAACAGAAATTGGAATGTCCTCTGAAACAAGTTGATTTTGAATATTAATGTTTTAGAACAACAAAAGTTTAAATGTGCACGTTGCACATTTAAATTATATTAATATATTCAAAATCAACTTGTTTCAAAGGGCATTCCAGTTTCTGTTCTTATTTTTAAATTGTAATTTGTTTCTTTCTATTCTGAGAAAGGTTGTTTAAGATAACCAAAAACATTTCAAAATTAATTATACTACATTTTTAAAGCTTTGAATGGTGATTTCATCAAGCTATTTGGAATAGTGTATAATAAAACTTATGAACTGTTTATTTCTGGAAGATTCTTTTTAATATTTTTTGGCTTTCAGTTACCACAAATAACTGAAATCACAGATAAGGAGGCTAATGTAGTATAATCCATTCTTTGAAAACAGATGATTCCATCATCTTGCCTGTTTGTACTGATCAGTGTTTAATAAACTGTTCTTTAATCTGCCAAAATTAGTATTTTCTCTACTTTATCAAAATTACATTACATTTACCATATCATTATATTATCAAAATTACCATATATTTGGGTACAGTAACAAATTTTTCACTATAAACAGTACTTTATTTGTGAATAAATCACTGCATATATATGATAACACACTCATCTTTGCAAATCCAGATTTGATATTATTTCAAGTATTAACCAAAGTTTTGAAAGATCAAATAAGCTGCATAAAATAAATAAATATACAAAGATTTTATTTACATTACATTTTTATGAATAGGAAATTTTTGTATTATCTTTAACAGAAGTTGATGTCCATTCCAATAAGGGCACATTTATTTTTTCTTTATCTAGCTCTAGTTTATGTCCTTTATCTCCAAATGGAAGGGAAAATGATCCTGGTGTTATGTGAAAAATCTTATTTAAAGCATCTCTTGCTGCTACATCCACAGCTTCTTTAATGGTTTCTCCAGGACCTATTTTAAGAATAGCTCTTTGTTAATGAAGCTTGCTATGACTTTTTTAAATATTACTTTATAAACAATTCATTAAAATTATAAAGTTAAATAAATTTTTCTTAATATTAATCAAAACAAATATACCAGTATAAAGAAGTAATAATTAAATATATTGGGATGTTCGGAAAGTAATTTCGTCTTTTTCCATGGAAAAAAATACAACATTTTTATAACAAATAAATATTTTATTGAATTATATATCAACCATTTTGGTCAAATACCTGTTGTCATTGTTTCTGGTAGTAGCATGATTTCACATTCATAAAAGTTTTAATTGTTGTTTACAAAAAACTGATCCAAGTGATTTTTAACATTGTCATTTCAAGTAAATGTCTTACAGTTAAAAAAATTTGTATAGACCGGAACAAGTAATAATCTGAGTGTGCTGGATAGCACGCCCCATCTAAGTTATAACAGTTTCTGACGAGTTACCAAACTTGTGTGAAATTTGACATTATTGTGGTAAAACACTACACCTGTTTTGTTGATCAATTCTGGTGGCTTTTTCTGTTTGATGATATTACTCAATTTGTTTACTCAATTCAATTTTTTTTTACACTTTTGAATCAATTGTTAAATTATCTGGTAAAAGCTCCAAAAAAAAATTTCCTTAAAATCCCACCAAAGAGAGCATCTCTCTTTAAGAACATGTGGAACCCATATATCAAGCTTTGAAACAAAACCAAGTTGTTTCAAGTAATCATAAATCAGTTCAATTTGACAAATTTCATCTCTTAGTGATTTCACATGTTGTTATTCGGCAGTTTGTTTCAATCAGTACCTTTATTTTGTTTTCATTGGCTTCAAGTGGCCATCCAGAATGTGGTCCTTCTTCAATATTGAAATTGCCAGAACGAAATTTTGTAAACCAGTTTTGGCACTGTTGTTCTGTCAACATATCTTCTCCGTACACGTCACACAATTTTTTTCTCGTTTGAACAGCATTCTTACCTTTTCGGTAATAAAAGAGCAAAATGTGCCAAAAATGCTGCTTTAGATCTTCCATATTTGATGGGACACAAAAAATAAACAATTGCACGAAATCAAACAAAATTTTTTACAAATAAGCCTTAAAATGCTAGCTGTCAAAATATATAATGATAATACGATTTAGAATGAAAACGACAGGAAAAATACGACTAATCCGTCTAGTGGTAAAAAAAACGAAATTACTTTCTGAGCAACCCAATATTAAATTATAAACAAAAAATTTCTTCTAAATTCATCGTAAGCATCACAAGTACTATAATTTTGTATAAACAATCTATAGGTTATCTACCAATTTAAATTCACAATTATTACTATAAACACAATGAGCAAATTGGATAAAAGTATGTAATACACTTAAAATCTGGTGTCTTCTTCAAAGTTAAGATGGTACCAGGCACATAGGCTTGAAGAGATCCTCAAAAGATATTATAACTGTCTTCATTTCTACAAACCTTCATCCAATGACAGTATGACAATATATTTATTAAAAAATTAGTTGTGTAATTTTGTAGCAATTTTTATTTTTGGTAACACAGAAGACACCAGATTTTAACACGATATATTTATTATTTCAGAAAAGTAATGTTAAACAGTTTACATCTTAAATAAAATCATCAGAACAATTAATAAACATGAATTAGCAACATTCTGAATATTCAACTAAAATGTCACTTTCTTGCTTTAATAGATTAATAATGTTCCGTTAATGTGTGTAAATTCCAGTGTATTGAACAATTCACTTTCAGTTGATATTAGTGATAATGTGTTTAATTGATCTTCTATCATAGAATTTTGTAGTTCATTTTTTAAGTTTGAAAATGATCTTGTGTAAGTGTGATTTCACACTACAACCAACTGGACTGATTGAATCAATTCCAAGTTGTGTTGCCATGACAACAGCAGTAGGTCATTCAACTAGTACCACCAGTTGAACAGATTTAAAAATTTAAATATTTGTAGTTGAGTCAGATCAATTGATGAGCCACAGCCAATGAGAGTTTCAAAGCTACAGTCAATCATACTTTGAATTTATGAAAACTTATATAATGAGAAAAGTTAAAAAAAAAAGAAAAAAAAAAGACTTTTCAGAATCATTAATAAATGAAGTAAGATAATTTATGATTACCCAATTACCCGCGATATTTTTAAAAAATTACCAGAGATATTTTTTAAAAAATTACAAAAACTTACAATAATTGGTTGATGTTTCAATTTGTAACACTCATTCTGATTGGTCATAACAAAACACCAACATAAGTATATTCAATGTGAATGCTTTTGCTATTAGTCAGCCCGATTATAGGATTGGTTGGTTGGACCAATTGGTTCAAGCAATCATGTGAAATCAGCCTCAGCCAGTTTGATGACCATCAAATGATATTCAGAGTTTATTTAACTCTGAATGTGATTTCAATATTTGGAAACGTTGTTTAAAAAAGCAGCTTCATAATTTGAATGTAATTTGAATCTGAATGTAATTTTTAAATTGTAGAATTTCTGAAATTAGATCTAAGGCCTTCAGTCGTCAAAATACACTGAATTCAACTTCTCAAAAGCAGATGCAATATCTTCATTGTACAAAATTTTCCAAAAAACTAAAATTAAATCTTTCTGCAATGAAAAAATGTGAGAGAGAAGCCGGGGGTTGAGACGAAAGGCTTAACCCTTTCACTGGTGTCAGATTGGCAAGATCCGCTCATGGTGTCACTGGATGGCGTTCTTATGTTATGCACTTCTACACGTTCTTTGAATTTCTTAATTTCTAGTGCAAGTGGGAAGGTTAGCAAGGTTGTTGATAAGACATCTGTGATACCAGAGGAAGAGCAGCCATTGTAAAAATTCAACAAATTTAATAAAGCTAAAAGATTACAAACACAAATCTAGGTGCGAGGAATACAGTTCCCTCAAACCCTCAAACTAATACAAAATCACTAGAGAACATAATTAATACCAATAACTATTTCCGACTGAGAGAGAGAGAGAGAGAGAGAGTACATAAATCGATTAATTATCATACCTCATGTGGTAGTTGATCGTTAATTCTGACAAAACCTTTTCATGGAGGACTGGGGGAAGACGTTTGAGATGCTACCAGCACAAATCACCAAGATTAAAGGCAATCCTTCAGGACTTTTCTTGTGGCTAATGCACCAAATCAAAAGATGGCTTTTTTTGGACGTTTGACCCGAAGATCAGGTGCACTTGCATTATATTCCCATCAAGTGTGGGAATCTGATCAGGTGACTGTTTAAAATAAAAAACCATTTAACTATCCAGCAAAATTCTTTAATAACATAAAAACATTTTCAAACGCATTGAGCGTTCATCATCAGTTATTTCTCTAATTTGAAATGGGAAATTCGAAAAATTATTTTCAAATTTCCCGTTTCAAATTAGAGAAATAACTGATGATGAACGCTCAATGCGTTTGAAAACGTTTTTATGTTATTAAAGAATTTTGCTGGATAGTTAAATGGTTTTTTATTTTTAAGTTGAATTCTCCAGTAAGCAAGTATACAGGTGACTGTTTGTTTGGTAGTCAAAGGTGTCATCGCTGGACGAGGGAATTAAACAAAATCGACTAGCAGGTTTTTTATTTCTTCCAATTGTTTTTAGATTCTCCCTGCGGACATAGTTAAATATCAACTTTCTCACACTCTGACAATTGATTGTTTTAACATATTTTTGATATTTTCACAGGTCAATGTGAGGGAAAGACTGTCACCTCACAGACCCTATAAACATAAATTCTTTAGTTGCTTGTTGATAGTTAATAGATAGTTGATATTCTCCTGGTTTTAGCTTCATGGGAACCGGACGGAATGAAGGGAAGGTTCTTATAATTCCCTTTTTCTTATTTTGCAAATTTATGGAAAAACAACTTCCTGAATCTCACAATATGCTTTTTCCTTGTGTTTCCATATGACGATGATAGGGACAAATTCTTCACTTTAAACTCTCTTTTTTGTGAACACAGGTTTCACTATTTGTCCTTCAAACTGCATTATTTGTACCATTCACTTCCTGGTATCAGAGCTCTCAATCATTTGTGTTTTGTACAGAAGGCCCACTTTTCAAAGGTTCTGTCTGTGTGTCCACTGAATTTGGTATTTTTCCACTTTTTTTGCTGATGATTCCACTTTCCATCTTCTTATAGTTATTGCTTTCTGGGTAAATTTTTGAAATTTGTGACTAGTTTAAATATTTCTGAAAATTAAAAATTGTCAAGATGATCTGGAAATGTTAAAACAACAAGGGTCTGTTTATCCTTGTTTTAAAATAAATTCAATATATATCTCAAATACCTTAATCCAACGTATAAAAATCTGAACTATGATTCAGATTTAAGAGTTAAATCTAGAATTAATGCTTAGTGAATACTGATTGAAAACTCATGATTTAAACCTTACATGATTTTTAACTCAAGATGGTGAATATGATTGTTATATTTTATGTATAGGTAATAAAATAAAATTCTTTAAAATAATAACAGTTTTGTAATACATATCTGTATATCACTCATGATTATTTCAATTTTCAGAAGCTAAAAATACTGAATTACAATACATAATGCTTCAAAAACAAAAAATAATAGTAATAAATAATAACTTTATATTACCTTTCCCTAAAAGTACTTTATCACAATAAATTCCTACATGATAGACTGCAAATATTGTGTTGGTTCCGGCTTTCCACAATAATCTAAAATAAAAAACAATTTACACATAAATTAATATATTGATATAAGCTTCTAGTTATTATCTATTAATTAGTAATAAATAACTGAGCCTAACGGCCTTATTGTTATGATTACAGATTTATCATACACCTTTAAATGTGTAAGATGAATCTGCAATCATAACAATAAGACCAGTGAGCTCATAAGTTATTTATAGTATAGTTAGTTATTTATAGTGTAGTTATTTATAATTAATAGTATAGTATAGTTATTTATAATTAATACTTTTAATTATAAGCTTTTTGCCTCCAATGAATTAATTAATTATCTCAAACTTCCAATTGGTGGAGATATAAGAGACTTGGCAAACCGTATTGGTGTGACAAAATAATTGAGATCAGTGTTTTATCAATTTATTTTATTAAAATCTTGCCTTTGATTTATGCTAATGTATGATTACTTTCTAATCAACTCTCATATTATACTAATATTAAATATGATCATTTTTATATATTACAAGTAATTATCAATGTATTTATAGAATTTAGTTTAACATTACACTTAAAATATATAAACATTACATTAAATCTATAAAAATATAATAATTAATAAATAACCATAACTAGCTATTATTATTGGTATTCTTTATACACAGGGTGGTAACAAAAATTTCTCTCTAACCAATTATTTCAAAAACTAATATAATCAATAAACTGTTTTAAAAAGTTTGAAAACATTTATAAAGGAAAGTTTTCTCACGATTTACACTGGTAACAGGTTCTGGATTTAGAGATAACCACTAAACTTTTTGCTAATGTATACTATATCAGACATGTGCTAAACCAGGCCTGGCCAACCTGCGGGCTGTATGCGGCCCATCACGTTAAATTGTGTGGCCCGCTAAGCAATATTATATATCTATTAAAACTTTTGTTTCCTGTTATGTGTATACCAAAACATGATATAATAAGTTTACACTTCACGCTGACGTATACTATTATTATAACACTTACGTACAGTGGCGTTATAGGAGTGGAGTTCTGGATACAGAAATTTATCAGACTTTTTGAGCAAGGTCTTATCCACTAGCACTTTCAGTAGTGAAAAACTACCATCATCAAGCAGTACATAGAATACGATAGTTTAAGCTTTTTTCATATTTCAAAACCGTGTTGTATCTTTATATTAGTTTTTCAAAACCGCAATGCAGCGTAATAATCAACACTTGGCATAACTCATTCATTTATTTCAGTTTTTGTTGAGACACGTTCTTACACACGTTTCAGGCTTCGTTTTGCCCCTCTTCAGTCAACTGGAAACATATAAAACCAACCTTATACACATTATGACCCGACATATGAATTTAAAAATCTTAAAAAATTTTTATATTTTACAAGTAACATACCTTTTAAAACCCTTTTAAAATCAAAAATTCCATCTTTGGATGTATTTCTACATATTTCTACAAGCGGGAATCATACACTATATTTTACTAGACTTCAAAGGCTATAAAAAATAATATAGTTATTTTTTATAGCCTTATAGAATATAGATATTTCTGGAAACCTTCTGTGAATAATTATGTAAGGATAAATTCAATATACAATTAATATTTAAGTTAATGCTTAAGTTTAATTAAAAACTGGGTTCTTTTGAAGATTTTTAGAAGAAAAAATTTTTGGAAGGAAGCATTATTATACAAATCACCATAAAAGAATAACATCATTAAACACTGTGAAGTTTAGCTGTGTTGTTTAGGTAAGAACTATTAATAACGTTATATAAAGATAAAACAATTAAAAGGAAGTTTAATAATATAAATTGTATAAGAACTAGTGATGATATAAAAGAAGAACTATGCTACATGTCCGTTATGGTCTTTTCTCGATATTTCAAGGAATCTTCTGTGAATAAGTATGTAAGGAAAAAAAACCAGTATATAGTCTGACTTCTAAATGTTAAGTGCAATAACTATATTATGTTTTATAGACTTCGAAGTCTAGTAAAGTATAGTGTATGATTCCTGCTTGTAGAAATACATCCAAAGATGGAATTTTTGATTTTAAAAGGGTTTTAAAAGGTATGTTACTTGTAAAATATAAAAATTTTTAAAGATTTTTAAATTCATATGTCGGGTCATAATGTGTATAAGGTTGGTTTTATATGTTTCCAGTTGACTGAAGAGGGGCAAAACGAAGCCCGAAACGTGTGTAAGAACGTGTCTCAACAAAAACTGAAATAAATGAATGAGTTATGCCAAGTGTTGATTATTACGCTGCATTGCGGTTTTGAAAAACTAAGTTTAAGCTTTCCAAATGATATTTCTGGCAGTTCAGCTGATTATGGTTTTTGAATATTATTTAAAGGTTCTTACGTCATAGCACGTAGAAAAAATGATAATAAATAAATATCATAGTGAGATTTTGATCCTAGTGTGAGCACACCACTTTATAGTGACATCACTCGTCATGGTACTCAGCGTGCTACTGATTCTTCACAACTTGAACCTAGTCACACCATTCTTATTTACAATACCACTGAGCCTGATTCGTCTGAATACACAAAAAGTAAGTTAACCACTCGTGTCAATCCTCGTGAGCTTGGTATTGCGGTTAAGGGTCTCCGCAGAATTCGGAAAGGGGGAGTGGCTGTTGACCTTGTCGCTAATAGTGATGTGGCTGCTATTACTTCTGCTGTCGCTGGAATTTCAGAATTGAGACTCACTGTTCCCAAGCTGAAAAAACCCCGCATTATGTTGATATCGGTTCCAAAGAGCCTAGTTAAAGATGATCTTCTTGATATCATATACACTCAGAATCATTCTATCTCTAATTCAATGTCATTGGATGAGTTTATGCAGTGCACCACTATTCGGTTTGCTGTGGGCAAACGTAACCCCTTTCATCTGAACTGGGTGTTGGAGGTGACTCCGGAAGTCCGGAAAAAACTGCTGGACTTGAAGACTGTCAACCTGTTGTGGACTAGATGCAAAGTGACTGACCATATATCAGTGGTGCAGTGCTTCAGGTGTTGTCAATTCGGTCATACTTCTCATCATTGTGTTTCTGAGAGATCAATCTGTAGTCAATGTGGTGGAGAACACTCCTACAAAGAGTGTGTTAAACGAAACCAGACACCCTCTTGCTCTAATTGTGCTAGAGAAAGGTTTGCTGATAGAGCGCACAACTGCATGAGTCATGAATGCCCAGTTTACATTCGCATAAGGAATCTAGTCATTAAAAGGACTGATTATGGACATTAGTACCTATATGCATAGTAGTTCTCAGTCAATCTCTATTAATTTGGTTCAAATTAACCTGCAGCGCTCTATCGCTGCCACTTCCCATCTCAATCAGATTCTTGACACTTATGATTTGGCTCTTATGCAAGAACCTTACTGTTGCAAAAATAAAGTTGCCTGTTTGCGCACCTCTTATGGAATTCTTCAATGTACTGATAAGAGCCCGTGGGCGGCTGCTGCCATTGCTAACAAGGAACTGTCTATTCTATTTCACCCTCAACTGAGTTCGGACAAACAGATCTGTCTCGAAATAAACTACCCTAGGTTCAGGTTGTTAGTTCTCAATATTTACAGCTCCATTAGGGATGACATTAATTCATCTCTACAATTTCTGCAGACTGCCATCAATCTTAATCAGGATGCACACATCCTAATTGTTGGTGATTTTAATGCCCACTCCCCCACTTGGGGGGGTACAACTCAAGATGAGCGTGGTGATGCTTTGGCAGACTTTGCCGCCTTCAATAATTTACTGATTGCAAATGACCCATTTTCACCACCAACCTTTACTGGTAGTGGTGGCTGCTCGTGGGTGGATGTCACTCTTTATTCTGACAGTCTTAGCCCTCTGCTGAACTCATGGGAGTTAATGGACCTAGATAGTCTTTCGGATCATGCCCTTATCAGCATTAGGATCTCTACTTGCATCCCTGTTAATCACTCTAAGACTGTTAGGCCCTATAATGTTGCCAGGGCCAACTGGGAGCTCATCAGTGACATGCTAAAAGACATCACTGCCCAGAATTTTGTTGTCAGTAACAGGGCTAGGGCTGTGAAGATCATTGATGACGTCATCGATAAAGTTAATCTTGCCTGTGATGCTCACATACCCAGGAAATGCAGAGGAAGGCGGCCTGTTCCCTGGTGGACTCCTCAACTGACACAGATGAGGTGCACCAATAACTACCTTCGACACAGATATCAACGCTGTCGGAACTCACAGCGTGACATCCGCAGAATTGAGTATCTCCGGTATCAGAAGGAGTATAAAGTTGCCATCAAGGCTGCCAAAATGAAATCTTGGAAGGACTTCTGCCACCGCAACAGTAGTGATCCTTGGGGCTTTATCTATAAGTTTTCCTCTGGAAAGATCAGTTCTCATAGCTACCTATCCAGCCCTTCTCTATCTGCTGATCTGACTACTACTGTCCATACTCTTTTTCATCAGTTTTGCCCACCTGATATAGAGGATGATGATATTCCCTTCCATAGCAACATTCGCAACAATCATGATCTCTCTAATCTTTCTCCTGCTGATCCACCATTTAGTCATTCTGAGATTCTGGATGTCATTCAAAGAGCCAAGGGCAGAAAAGCACCCGGACCTGATAACATTACTGCTGACATAATTAGAGCTCTGTGGCAAAGGCATCCTGACCTCCTCTTTCACCTTTACAATCTCTGCTTGAGCCATGGTGTTTTCCCGATTGCTTGGAAAAGGGCTCAGTTTGCCCTGATTCCTAAGGATAAATCTCTGCCGCCAACCACTAGCAACCTTCGCAACATCTCACTTCTGTCTGAACTGGGTAAAGTCCTTGACAAACTTTTGTGTAACAGACTTACTTGGCATTTGGAGTCTACCGGATATCTTCACCCTTCTCAATTTGGTTTTAGAAGACAGCGTGGCACTGTTGATGCTCTGATGGCCCTTACATCCAAAGTACGTGAACTCCTTTCATCATTTAAATATGTTCTGGGAATTAGTCTCGACCTGGAGAATGCTTTTAATTCTGCCTGGTGGCCTCTTATTCTACACAGGCTGCAATGGAGCAGGTGTCCAGCTAATCTCTATCAGCTAACCAGGGATTTCCTATCCAACAGGGAGGCCACCTTAAGGTCAGGTACTAACACTTTTTCCCATCATTTGGAG